CACTGCTGCAGACACACACACTGCTGCAGACACACGCACTGCTGCAGACACACACACTGCTGCAGACACACACACTGCTGCAGACACACACACACTGCTGCAGACACACGCACTGCTGCAGCCACACACACTGCTGCAGACACACACACTGCTGCAGACACACGCACTGCTGCAGACACACGCACTGCTGCAGACACACGCACTGCTGCAGACACACACACTGCTGCAGACACACACACTGCTGCAAACACACGCACTGCTGCAGCCACACACGCACTGCTGCAGCCACACGCACACTGCTGCAGACACACACACTGCTGCAGACACACGCACTGCTGCAGACACACGCACTGCTGCAGACACACACACTGCTGCAGACACACGCACTGCTGCAGACACACACACTGCTGCAGACACACACACTGCTGCAAACACACGCACTGCTGCAGCCACACACGCACTGCTGCAGCCACACGCACACTGCTGCAGACACACACACTGCTGCAGACACACGCACTGCTGCAGACACACGCACTGCTGCATACACACACACTGCTGCAGACACACACACTGCTGCAGACACACACACTGCTGCAGACACACGCACTGCTGCAGACACACACACTGCTGCAGACACACGCACTGCTGCAGACACACGCACACTGCTGCAGACACACACACTGCTGCAGACACACGCACTGCTGCAGACACACACACTGCTGCAGACACACACACACTGCTGCAGACACACGCACTGCTGCAGCCACACACACTGCTGCAGACACACACACTGCTGCAAACACACGCACTGCTGCAGCCACACACACTGCTGCAGCCACACACACACCTGCAGCCACACACACACTGCTGCAGACACACACACTGCTGCAGCCACACACACTGCTGCAGCCACACACACACTCCTGCAGACACACGCACTGCTGCAGACACACACACTGCTGCAGACACACACACTGCTGCAGACACACACACTGCTGCAGACACACGCACTGCTGCAGACACACACACTGCTGCAGCCACACACACTGCTGCAGCCACACACACTGCTGCAGCCACACACACACCTGCAGCCACACACACACTGCTGCAGCCACACACACTTCTATCTGCTGCACAAGAGCTCAGGCAGGAGCTAACCAATGTATGCTAGCTAATGTTGAGTTAGCCCCAGTGCGGGAGGGTCCCAGCTCAAAAGTGGCCAAAATGACGTGCGCTGACATGCTGCAATACCACCCCGGGCCGAGGGGGGTGGACCCAGAAGAAGAATTAGCCAATGCTAACATATAACGTTGGCAGACCTCTCAAAAACGTCTTTACAGGATGGACCAAAAGTTGGCTCTTGGCCCAAAGCTCCGTTCCACATGTGTGTCAATGCTGAGGGGGGTGTTTTGGTCCACTCTAGTTTAATCGCTGTGACTTGTGAGTTGCGCCGGCTGACGCATGCACACATGCATGCCCACAATTTTCTTGTGGGCGGGACCACTCGCGGCCATTTTGGATTGCTCCAGTAGAGCACATTTTTTGACCCATTAGTTAGAACGACGGAGATAGGCCTGACTGCGTCATAATTGTGTACTTAATTCTTGCTTCTTTTTTATGCTTAAGTTCGAGATTGTATACTTGATTCTCTCTCTCTGGTCTCGCTCTCTCTCCCTCTGGTCTCGCTCTCTCTCTCTCTGGTCTCGCTCTCTCTCTCTCTGGTCTCGCTCTCTCTCTCTCTGGTCTCGCTCTCTCTCTCTCTGGTCTCGCTCTCACTGGTCTCGCTCTCACTGGTCTCGCTCTCACTGGTCTCGGTCTCGCTCTCACTGGTCTCGCTCTCACTGGTCTCGCTCTCACTGGTCTCGCTCTCACTGGTCTCGCTCTCACTGGTCTCGCTCTCACTGGTCTCGCTCTCACTGGTCTCGCTCTCACTGGTCTCGCTCTCACTGGTCTCGCTCTCACTGGTCTCGCTCTCACTGGTCTCGCTCTCACTGGTCTCGCTCTCACTGGTCTCGCTCTCACTGGTCTCGCTCTCACTGGTCTCGCTCTCACTGGTCTCGCTCTCACTCACTAGTCTCGCTCTCACTGGTCTCGCTCTCTCTGGTCTCGCTCTCACTGGTCTCGCTCTCACTGGTCTCGCTCTCACTGGTCTCGCTCTCACTGGTCTCGCTCTCACTGGTCTCGCTCTCACTGGTCTCGCTCTCACTGGTCTCGCTCTCACTGGTCTCGCTCTCACTGGTCTCGCTCTCACTGGTCTCGCTCTCACTGGTCTCGCTCTCTCTGGTCTCGCTCTCTCTGGTCTCGCTCTCACTGGTCTCGCTCTCACTGGTCTCGCTCTCACTGGTCTCGCTCTCGCTGGTCTCGCTCTCGCTGGTCTCGCTCTCGCTGGTCTCGCTCTCACTGGTCTCGCTCTCGCTCTCACTGGTCTCGCTCTCACTGGTCTCGCTCTCACTGGTCTCGCTCTCACTGGTCTCGCTCTCGCTGGTCTCGCTCTCCTGGTCTCGCTCTCACTGGTCTCGCTCTCGCTCTCTCTGGTCTCGCTCTCACTGGTCTCGCTCTCACTGGTCTCGCTCTCGCTGGTCTCGCTCTCACTGGTCTCGCTCTCGCTCTCACTGGTCTCGCTCTCACTGGTCTCGCTCTCTCTGGTCTCGCTCTCTCTGGTCTCGCTCTCTCTGGTCTCGCTCTCACTGGTCTCGCTCTCACTGGTCTCGCTCTCACTGGTCTCGCTCTCACTGGTCTCGCTCTCACTGGTCTCGCTCTCACTGGTCTCGCTCTCTCTGGTCTCGCTCTCTCTGGTCTCGCTCTCACTGGTCTCGCTCTCACTGGTCTCGCTCTCACTGGTCTCGCTCTCACTGGTCTCGCTCTCGCTGGTCTCGCTCTCACTGGTCTCGCTCTCACTGGTCTCGCTCTCACTGGTCTCGCTCTCGCTGGTCTCGCTCTCGCTGGTCTCGCTCTCACTGGTCTCGCTCTCGCTCTCTCTGGTCTCGCTCTCACTGGTCTCGCTCTCACTGGTCTCGCTCTCGCTGGTCTCGCTCTCACTGGTCTCGCTCTCGCTCTCACTGGTCTCGCTCTCACTGGTCTCGCTCTCTCTGGTCTCGCTCTCTCTGGTCTCGCTCTCACTGGTCTCGCTCTCACTGGTCTCGCTCTCACTGGTCTCGCTCTCACTGGTCTCGCTCTCACTGGTCTCGCTCTCACTGGTCTCGCTCTCACTGGTCTCGCTCTCACTGGTCTCGCTCTCGCTGGTCTCGCTCTCACTGGTCTCGCTCTCGCTCTCACTGGTCTCCCTCTCTCTCCGATCATCAGCTGGTGTTACTTCCTGATTGGGCGTGGTCAGCCTGATTGACAGACAGGTCGCTCTGACTGACCACATCTCTCTCGCCCGGTGGTCTCTGGAGGAGGGTGTCCCATGGGTTAGGAAGGGAGAGCCAATATTTCAAACACAAAAAATATTGGCCGATCTATAGTAGAATATATTCGTTTTGGGAATTT